TACATCTGACTGGAAAATGCACATGTTTAAAGTCCCTGCCTGCTAAAGACACCTTCAATTACACCCCGTTGTAATTAGGAGGCTCAGTGGCGTATCTATGGCTGAGCCTGACCTCTGTGTTAATGCCAGTTATGTAAGTGTGGAATCATTCTTTCACATCCTGAAAATGCTCGTATTTAAGGGGTTTCTTTTACTTCATCAGATGAGGGGGCCTAAAATAAACGTTCTTCTCTGGGCTGACACGTGACAGCGTTAGCAATGGGTTGAAACTAAGCTTGCACATAATAATCTGTTTAGAAGAATGTCCTCAAAGTTGCTACAGAAAATACCAGCTGTACATAGCAGATTAATACAGCACAATTCAAGTTCCCCCTTGGGGGTACATCTGCCAGATATAAATATTAATGAAAGGGAATTGTGACAGGAAGATTAAGATTCATTAATCATTATTATGATCCAGCATCAGGTGCTAACAGGGCAGCTGCTTGGAGCGAGACGCCATCACCTTGACCTAGCGCACACGCTTGTGTGGATGCTGTAAGTAAATGATGTCCTCAAAGGAAGCAGTGAGCACACTGCTGCAAGAAGAGATTTATTTAGGGAGCAAATCCTAAGCTCAATGGCTCTGGGTGTGCGTCAGGTCCCCAGGAGGATGTGGGGGGACAGGGGAGGACCTGGGCACGACCTCTGGTCTAAGCAAGTGGCACCATGGCTGCTGTCTCAGCATCGCTGCGGTGATTCCCTCTGCTTTACCCTCTGCTTTCACTTCTGCAGGCAGGACTCACGCTGACGATCCCTGCGCTGTCTAGGGAAAACAGAGTTAGAGAAACCAGGAAGAGCTGCAGCTCCCCTGCTCCGGTGGGATATGGAAGGCTTCACAAACTTTCCCATCCGACGCGTTGTTCAAACGCTCTGCAGCTGTCAGACCCCTATTGTTCACGTTTATATTGTACTGGGGGGTTTGATGTCTCAGCCATTGCAGAGCTTTGGAGTGGGAAAGAGAGGCCACTGCCTCCTCCGAGCTGATCCTGCTTCCCAGCCAGGTTGGTGTCTGTTTTCACAGCCCTCTCTCTGTTCAGCCAGGCAGGATTAACTCCTCACTCTCCACCACATTCCCTTTGCATTGCACGTGTTACCGGTCACCTTCAGACCTTAATCCAGCAAGAACTTCCATTTTAGCTGCTGGTGTTTGATAGTTTTCTCAGTACCAACCACTACAAAGTGTGCTTACCCCTTGGTGCAATTGCAATAGGAGTAGGGGCCTCAGCTGCATCCCAGACCGCAGGCAATCTCCACACAGTTTGCAGTGCCCCGTGCAGTAACATGCACAAGAACACCATGCACAGGAGGGAGGTGCTCAGGAAAGCAGAAACACAGTCATCCCCTTGCACAGTGTATACGTATTCCAAACATTAACTTGGAGGAGTCCCACAGCTCAGGTGATCCCACTGTAAGGCTGTCCCGGAGAATTCCTTTCTCTGTTTATATTCCCCAGTAGCAGAAACTAGCCCAAGGACACCAGCCTTGATAAAAGACTGACAACTAAAATACATAGCACATGCATTTTTCCACAGGAGACTCTAATGGTTGCTGCAGAAGTCAAAATATAGACTACGTAACTTGGATCAGGTGCTAGCGTTACCCACACCTGCAAATCCCATCAGCCTGCATTCCTGGGAAAGGCAAAAGTGCCCCCAGCAGCCTGGATAGAGTTAATGAGAACTGGTAGCACTGGGATAGGGACAGATAGATTTATAGGAGATTAGGTAGGGCAGTGGGCTATTTGCTTTTTCATCACCCATTCCCACCTGTATTGTTAACTGAGAAAGGATTATGGAGAGGTCCAGCCTGTGCCTTCATCCCAGACCAGCTTTTTGTGTTTTGGGAAACACTTGCTGCAGGCAAACACTTCACCTGGGTTCCACACACAGTTCACAGAATCCCAGAGTGGTTTGGGTTGGAAGGAACCTTAAAGCTCATCCAGTTCCAATTGGGCAGGGACCCCTTCCACTAGAGCAGCTTGCTCCAAGCCCCTGTGTCCAACCTGGCCTTGAACACTGCCAGGGATGGGGCAGCCACAGCTTCTCTGGGCACCCTGTGCCAGCGCCTCAGCACCCTCACAGGGAAGAGCTTCTGCCTAATATCCAATCTAAATCTACCTTCATTCAGTTCTGGTGTGAATTAAGATAGATATATAGATATATATACATATAGAGATATATCTGTGTATCACAATAGACTCATCAAATCTGCTCGAGGGTCCCAGTGTGATGGGGAGCACAGCTGCTTCCCCTCCTGTTGCACCAACTTCTGTGTGGATCGCTGGAACTTGCATCCCACTTCTCCATTCTTTTGTATTCCCATTTATTCCTGCTGTTGATCAGCATTCAGCACAGCCCTTAGGCACTACAGTCAACCTGTCCCTCTCCAGCAAAACACGATCCCTGTTGTCCGATGTGGTTCCTAAATTGCATTGGCAAAACAAAGAAGCCTGGATCAGAGTTTCTCAGCAGGTGAGCTGAATGGTCCCTGTCAGCAGGCTCACCGGTGATGTGTGTGTTGGTATTTGTATTGCAGGTATATTCAAGGCATTCTCTAATCACTCACTGTAAATACAGCCCTGAATGGAAGCCAAGTTGTTTCATAGAAATGAATCACTTCCATTCCTCCTATCACGTTGCTGGGAAGGGACCTGCTTAAGCTGCTTTGTTTAATGCTGGCTTCTGCTCCTCTCTGATAAGTGCTGCTTGCCAAAAGCTTCGTTTCTAACAGAGTTCAAAGTAAAGTTATTAAGTCATATACGTCGACGTAATCAGGATTTGGGAGAGGAAGGAGAGCTTAGCCGACCACGGTCCTTGGGGAAGGATGCACACCGATACAGTTAAACGGTGGTGAGCTAATTTTCTCCCTAAAACAGCATCTGATGGGGTCCAGGTTTATGAAGGGAACATTGCAGCCTGCTGCTCTGCATCAAATGAGCAGATTTGGAGGCCCAAGCCCCCTCTTGCTGAGGCTGTGGGAGTTTTCTCATTGATTTTAGGAAGCTTTGGGTCTAGATCTTAAAGCCTGAAGTGTTTTACTGAAGAAGGCCTCTTGTACCTGATATCAGAGACAAATTCCATGCCCTGCATTGTCTGTCTGAGTCATTTGACTACCTTTGAAGTCATTTTTCCCTAGGGGCACCCAGATTAACAAATGCTGTGACTAAGTCCTTGCCCCCCTTTTCCAAATGAAATCTAACATCAGCTCTTGAGAAAGAGGAACCTGCGTTATAAGAAATCCCCAAAGACAGTGATGGTCATCACCACTTTTGTTATTAAAGGGCACATTTTGCTGTGGTTTGTTTGGTTTGGTTTATGAATTAGGTTTGTGAATGCATGAGATTAAAAGCTTAAATGGGATCAATGAAGACTCCACAGCATGCATCAAAGTAATTACAGATTGCCTTTCAAACTCCAGAGGACCACTCGGATGGAAGGACTAAAGGTTTAGAGCAATAACGATGAATTTTTCAAACAAAGATGAAAGGAAGTCCATTACCAGCACACAAAGCTGAACTGCACTGTTTATTTACAGATGAGTAGGACCTCTCTTGGGGTAAAGGCACATGATGTCCTCTCTAGGGTAGCAAGCTGGATCCATTTGCTGCCTGGGTACAGGATGTTAACTGTGTGGAAAAGTAATAAAGGAGCATAAGCCTTCGAGAGAAACACAGAAGCTTCCAACACTGCCCTCCATCCTTTCCTTTTTACCTCTGAGCAAGGCTGTGTGGAAAACATATTAAAATCATGAGTTTTGTTCAGCTCTGATTTCCAGATGGCAACGGATGATATGATATTTTCCAGCTTTTGATTAAAATTAGGCTTTTCTGATCCATAAGGGTAAAGCTTCTAATGTTCTCATCTCCCAAATCCTTGATTTCTGATGTTCACTGTTCCTATAACTTATCAAGTACAGGCAATAGAAAGCAGCTAATTTGTATCTAGTGGAAGTCAGGCAGATTTGTGGATGTGATACTACGTAGTTTGAACTATTTTAATAGGCCAAATTTATGGAAATGCTGAATTTAATATTCTCAGAACAAATCACACCTACTTTTCAGACAAAATTCCTTCCCCCTCTGCCTGATCCCTTGAGTCTGGATAATATCACTATGTTTTGCATGGCTTTCTTTCAGCATACCCAAGATACAGGCCTTCTTCGTGCTTAAAACCAGAAACTATTCTCATGCAGCCTGACTTGGTTCATCCAGAGTTTGGTGCATCTTGGTTTTCAGTGGGAAGGTGGCAGAATGATACTGAGGTGCCCATGGGGATGCAGGGATGCAGAAGTCATGCCCAGAGAAGCTGTGGCTGCCCCATCCCTGGCAGTGCTCAAGGCCAGGTTGGACACAGGGGCTTGGAGCAAGCTGCTCGAGTGGAAGGGGTCCCTGCCCGTGGCAGGGGTTGGAGCTGGATGAGTTTTAATGTCCTTTCCAACACAAACTAGGCTGGGATTCTATGATTCATTCCATGATTCTATGTGAAATAGCTAAATACAATGCATTTTGCTTCTACAATTGCTAAGAGAAAATAGGTAGTGCTGGTACATTTAAACTGTGCGTAATCATTACAGAAGCACTCAAAGATTAACTAAATGGTTGGAATAAACACATCATTCTGAACAGAAAGCATCTACGCACAGAGCAGGAATGGGAAAGAGCCATCTTTCATCAACTTGTGTGGTGTCTCAAAGAGGTGGCAGAGTTGGCAGTAAGAAGAACGTGTTGCAAGATTTCACAATAGCAAAGGAGACACCGAGCTGACCTGTTTATATGGGTCACATCCTCATCTGGTGTAAATGGGTCGAGACTCACCAAAGCCAAGTAGTTCCTGGATGCTGTTGCCCAGTTTTCCAGGGTCAACACTGAAGTTTTATAGAAGCTCATAGTTGTACATATTAAAGTAATCAAGCATATTTTCATTACCGACGGTGCGAGTGAAATGAAGACAGACACAATGGAAATGTGCCCACAAAATTTTACTGACAAAGAATTGAAATGAAAATGGCTTTTTCCTCCTGTGCACGCAGTAACCAGCTCTAACAGATGCCATTAATACAATGGAAGGATTGTAGTGGACGGGAGAGGAAATGTATTTCTCAATCCCTACTGGAAATTATGTCTCTGCTTAATTCCTCCAAGCAGCTTAGATTGAAATAATTCTCTCTCTTTTTTTTTCCTTTCCCATTGGCCATTCCCCATCGCTGCACATCCCTCAAGTGAGCATCTAGCCTTTGGGGTTAACCACAGAAAAAATGCAGTTCTCTTCCTCACCCTCCTCCTTTGGGATGTTTCCTACAGCAAGTTTATCTGGATTCCCCCATAGAGTCATTCCCTTTGCTGCTTTCTGCTGTCATTACACAGGCTGGATTACCACTTGTTGAGAAGTCCACATTCATGCAGATTTTCTTGCTGTTGTAGGTTTCGAGAGCTTGTTCACGCCTGCGTTGACTCAGTCTTTCACTGACAAAGACAAACCCCCCTGCTTTGTTCTCAGCACACCAAGCAGCTGGAGCTGAGACTCCAAATACCTGTTTCTCCCCCTTGTCCTGCCTCTTTGTTCTTCAGCGCTTCCATCCCGATGAAGAACCTGCCCTCTAGAACTGGGTCAGTGCAGAGCTCTCCCTCTGTCCGGTAGTAAGGGAAGTACCCACTGGAAGGAAAGAGCTGGTTCAGAGCTGGCAGCCCGCTGGGGAAGTAGCTGGTGGACAGGCAGTGTGCAGTGATGCTGTCTCTTAGGAGCGGCTGGGCTGGTGGCTCTTCATCGCTCGTAGGAGAGCATGCCCTCTTGTCCAGCTCCAAACTCCGTGGGACAGTCTGAAAAACACATGTACAGGGCCAAGAAGTAAGGTCAAGAGTGCATGAAAAAGCAGTTGAGGCCACATTGGGAACCACGCTGCCTTTGGGGACACAGCAGTCACCCGCAGCAATGGGACAGGTCATCCACAACCAACAGAGTGAGACTCCAGGGTCCACAGGGCTGTTTCAAGGGACAGGGGCATTGCCTCAGGTATCTCTTCCTTGCAGGTAGCTCTGCTCCTGCATGATGTTCTCAGAGCACAATTCATTGCTTTGCTCCTAAGGGCCTAATTTTGGGAAACAATGTGGTGTGAGATGTTCCCACCTCTCTTCTCCCCTTCCTACCCTTTCAGAAACATTAAATACATACCTAATTTGCAGGTATTTAACCAAATTTAACCACGTAGACTTCGAAACAAGCTCCCGTGGTAGAGGGAACCAAGGTGCCTCCCTCAGACAGCAGGGACATCCCACCACACATATCTAAAGGGAGCTGCAAGGGCTCTCACTCTTGCCTTTGGCTTATTTTATTTGGAGCTTTTTCCCCTCGGTTCTGTCTGTTCCTGCCCTGCAAGAATGTGTTCATGCAAAGTCACTGCTTGCACAAATCCTGCGTTTCTTTGTGCATGCCCTCCACTAAAAGAACATGAAATGGCAACACGTAGCACATCTCTATGTCTGATTCAGCTACTGCAAAGCCCCAGGGCAAGCAGGAGGTATTGAGGTTGGTGGGGTCAGCGCTCCCAGTCCCTGACTGTGCAATCTCAGGGAGCACTTTAGCAACTGCCCTTGGACTTACTGACTCAGCATCTCCTTCGCTTTCATCTTTCCCATCGTTATCAGGCCTTTTTTCCTCTGCATTTAATCCATGTGTGAGTGGTTGACCAAGAAGCTCTTCATGCATTCTGTAATATGGAAAATACCCTGTGGAGACAGCTGGATAACTGACTTGCTCATCCTGCTTAATGTCAGCCTTGCCTTCATCGAAGCCTGCTTCCGGTTCTGTGCTGACGAGTGATTCAGGGAGGAAAGATGGGCTGGTTAAGAGGTGAGATGTTCTGTAGTAGGGCAGGTATGAAAGAGCAAACACCAGGTAATCTGGGAATGAGTGGTCGTTGCAAAGGAGCAGTTTGGTATGCAGGTCTTCGGGGCTGTCCCTGGTGAGCAGGACATGCTCCCAGACTCCTGGGCTGGATGGTGGGGAAGTGGTTTCATTCCCTGTCTCCAGATCTCCAGGAAGCTCCTGGAAGAAATCAGTAATTGGTCAAATATGATAAAATTATGCTATTAATGGACAACAGCCAATAGCAAAATCAATCACCAATATTAACCTGTTCTGCTCTCCACCCAGGGCATGGCACATCGGCCACTGCTAAGAGGTGATGAGGCCAATGAGAAGATGGAGGATTGTAAGGATTTTACATTATCTTCCAGCTCTTCCTTTTTGAATCTTCAAGTTGTTTCTCATGTGAAGTTTTCAATTAAATTTAAATACCAAGTTAGTTCCTATACTCTCAAGCAGTCTTTAGTAGCTCACACAGGGAAAGCATGAGATTTCACGTTTAACAGCAATAACCAGGCTTCAGAAATTAAACCCCAGTCTCCACGTCCTGCTACCTTGTTTTTGACAGGCTACTGTTTGGCACTGTATGAAACCATGGCCCACAGAGGCACTGCTTGTACCTGATTTGAGGTTAAACTTACATCTGATTTCATGAGCTGCCTTGGCAGATTCCAGAGCAAAGAAATGGGACTCCCACAGGCTTGGGCTATTTAGTGTGATTTACGGCCGCCTGAGATTCTTGGTGCATCAGCAGTGCTCGTGGCCATTCTGGAAATGGAAGAACATTAACGTTTGGGTAGAGCCTGAAAAGAAATAAATCTGTAAAATCCTCTTCTTCTTGAGGTATTTTCTTTTTGAGCTTTCCACACAGCAAAACTGGCACACGTAATTCGAGTCTTTGAAAGAGTCTGGGCTTGATGTTTCAGTTCAGCTCCAGTTTTATCTCTGTCTTTATTTGAGATATCAGATCACCACTAGTATAAGACACTGTTTCATTGAAAAAAAAAGGTCTTATTTCTGTTATAGATACACACAAATAGTTTTTCACTATAAAAATTGTCTGCCTCTTGGCTGTTTGCTACTCTGGTGCTGTTAATTCCCCATCCCCGCTGACTTTCTTCTGCCTTTTTTCTAATCAAAGACCTGTCTCTGAGTGATTTTGCATTTTAAGGATGTCTAACCAATATCTCATTCAAGCAGGCCTGAATCTACACCTTGGTTATCATAACCACAACCCATCTGTTTTACATAGTGAGAAAAGGATGGTTTTATAGTTACCAAGTGCCCAAGAAGCAGCCAGGAAGGGAAAGCCTGTGGGGGGAGCATCGTTCTGTGCCAGCCTGGTTGCCTTGGTGATGGGGTTCCAGGGCAGCATCAGAAGGGGGGGACACCCCACCCACCCCCAACTTGCTGCTGGCAGAGCCATCCCTTTCCTCCTCCCCAGTACAGTCTTATGGGCATCCTGGGTTTACTGGGATGCTCACAAGTGGCCTGGCTTCCTCCTAAAGAAGCATCAGTTCCCTTTATTCCTGCCAGTGAGGTACCGAACTACGGAGATAAGCCCTAACAAACCAACCTTCTCCTTCCTCCACCTTGTCCTTCACTGGAACAGGAGACCCTGTTTGATGGACTCCCAACCAAGCAATCAGCAGCCAAAGCGACACACATTCAAAAGAATAAATTTCAACAGAAATAGCATCAAATGAGTTCATTTTTTGTCTATTTTCATACTAATCGCTGCAAAGACAGTGCTAAGCAAAAATATCATTTCACCATGGCATTATAATGCATCTCCCTCTGGTTTATAAGCATAGAGGAAATCTCAGGAATGCCTCTGCTGTGCTTTTTAAGGCATTTTCAAACTGTTTCCATACTTTAAATAAAAAGAATATATCCTGTAAATGTATAGAAGCAAATACTTCCTGGGCTTTCACATTGCAATAGTTATCATCTATTTCCCTCCGTTCAGGCTTCAAATATTGTTTGCTAAATGACAGATGATTTTCTTATTACTGCATCACCATGTATCTATTTCAGTGTTTAACTGGCAAGTGTAATAGAGCGGAGCAGCTCCTCTGACAATACATTAAAAACGCTCATAAATACCCGGCTAATAGAGAAATTCAGCATAAGATTCATTCCCACATAGCATTTGATCTATTTACTGAAATTCCAGGGCTCTGAAGCACGGGAATGATTTTGAATGGACTATATTATTATTCATCCTATTTATAATCCCGGTTGCTGCCTGCAGTAAAAAGTGGTTTATTATAATGTGATTTCTCAACTGCATCAGTGTGATATACCAGCAGCTAATGAAGTGTTCAGGCACCCAAAACCTCAGCTTCATTGAAATTCATCACCACAAAGATCCTGCCAGAACTAATTGCTGTCAAGGCTGCTTATGCATATGTCTTAGTTTCATTTCACAGAATGACAGAGGTAATACTGGTACAAACCAAAGTAAGAAACCCCTCCAGCCTGCAGCAAAGCCCAGCACATGGCAGGAGGTTTCTCCAGTGAACTGACATTCCTGCAGGGCCAAGAATAGGTTAAGGATTTGGATACTTTCTTTTGCTTTAAATTGAAATATTACATTTATGTCATATACAGACAAGGGATAATGGGTTCAAACTTAAACAGTGGAGATTTAGGTTAGATATAAGGAAGAAATTCCTTACTGTGAAGGTGCTGAGGCGCTGGCACAGGGTGCCCAGAGAAGCTGTGGCTGCCCCATCCCTGGCAGTGTTCAAGGCCAGGTTGGACACAGGGGCTTGGAGCAAGCTGCTCTAGTGGAAGGGGTCCCTGCCCGTGGCAGGGGCTGGAACCAGATGAGCTTTAAGGTCCCTTCCAACCCAAACCATTCTGTGAATGCTCCTTTACAAACTAAGTGTGTCTTTAAAGTTACATTTGTGGCAAAAAAAAAAGGCAATAAATGTAATTTTCCAGGAAGGAAGGGAAGGGAATTTCCGAGCTCAGAAGAAGTTTGTGAACCCCAGGACTGCTTGAGCAGATTTGCTGAACAACTCCATTTGCATGTTTGCATTCCTGTTTCCAAAGTCAGCCTACGCGGATCGCTCCGGATCCTTGCCAAAATGCTTGGGACTGATCCAAGGGAATGATCTTGACTGCTGCAGGTGGGTTGAGGACCCCCAAGAGGTGCTGGTGGTGTCAGGAAGTTCACTAATTACAGCTCATTGTGGCTTATGGGGGAAAGATGCTCTCAGCATGGTGAGTCCGGGTCCTTTAGCAGGACACCTATCCAGACACCTGATGTGAGCAAGGTGATGGGGAGCTTCCATTTCAACCTTCTGGACTTACATTTTGCTGCTGAGATCGGTGGGAGCAGAGCTGCCCTTTCATGGAGCCTTTTAGTGTTTTCCATCATGATTTCCCTGCGACTTGGCCAGTTAGCTTCAACAAAGACAACTTTTATTATCTTACTGAAAAGCCTGGATGTGCTGGTATGTTGCGCTTGCTACGTATACGTTTTCAAGCATTAGTCATGCCATAACATCTGCTTTTTATTGGTAATTACACTATCCCCATTTTAATAAGAGGTAATTCTTAAATTTCTCATAAAATATACACGACTCCAGGGAAAGAAGGTGAAAGGTTTTGCAAGCCTCTCACAGCCACAAGACCAAAATAAGTGGAAATAAATCCTTTCCGGGCAGAACTCGTCCAGCCACTCACAACAGCACGTCCAGGGATGCCTGTGCAAGTCACCATCCCCACTTCTCCTGATTGTTCATGCTCTGCAGAACAGACCTGCAAAGCCTGAGCACCACGGCCCTTCTGGGTGCTATTAATGTGCTCAGAAACGGGGACCTGGTCCTAAACCTGCACGTACGTGGACACCCCCTCCTGGGTGTAACTTGGCTGGAATTAGTAAGAAGGGAGTTCTGGGAGATCAGGTCAGAACTGGGGAGCAGTAAAAGTTTTTGGGCTGTTTCCAAGTGGTTTAGGCACTTTAGAATTGCAAATAGGTGTCCAGGTTAATGGACCGTAGCTTGTTTGTATTCATATTTATGGTAGGCTCGGTATAAACCGAGTTGAAATAGTGGGCCTAAAAAATGAGTAACAGCTGAAGTGGAAGACCAATATCCAGATAAAGCATCATGAATAAAATAGTTTGGGGCTCCACTGAAAGCTTCCAGTTTGACATTTCCCACTGAAAACTTCCAGTTTGATATTTCCCCCTGTTTCCCTGTAGGTAAGTGCTGCCGCGCTGCTTTGGCGATGTGAGAATTGGGATCTGCGATTCCATAGCATGTTTGCAGGGATTCTTCCACTGATTCTGGACAAGGCAGTGACAAATGACACTTCTGCAAGGTCATCCCTAAATCTTTGAGAACCAGGGAGCTTTTTCAGTGGCTCCTGCCTTTCAGTGAATGCCAGCAGCCAAGCCCATATGGAGCATTGTGTGCTGAGCTCATTGTTGATGCAAATGCACACAACTAGTTTTGATTAAGAACAAAACGCAGAATTGACTCAAATTGTGGGTTTTTTGGTTGTTTGAAAAGCTTCAAGCCTCTCATTATCATCAGGGCTTCTTTCAGGGCAGGAAATGGGAATTTCTATAAAATAACGCTGAGAGGCACAGGGTGAAGTCAAAGAACGTTCATGTTCCTAATGAACGTAAGGATAAACACGCAAAACAAATCTGGGGATGCTCAACTAAATGTCTGGGGGCATGTTATGGCATGTGGGTTGTTTAAATTAGTCAATATATATTAAGCAGCCCCATACACAAATGGTAAAAGGACAAAGCAGTGGGTTTAAGAGAGCCCTTTTCCCTTTGCACAGTAACTCAGGATGTGATTATTGCATTCAATAGCCAAGGGGGGCTGTTGTATGGTGGTGTGCCTGGGTTGCATGGTTTTCATGCGAACAAGGAGCTTGTTCCGGTGCAGAAGAAGGTCCCATAGCAGCATTTGGAGCCCTGGGGCCACTGAGGTGGGATCAGACAGGCTCTGTGTAACCTCAGGGCTGTTCTGCTGTGTTTGGAAGTGCTGGTGCTTGGAGGAATGTGCCGGCTGCTGAGCACAGCCAGCATGCAGGTGGTCCAGCACTGCTTCCCATATTCAGGATGTCCTGGATGATTGGAAAACCCTTGTGCCAAGGGCATCTGGAAAGTGACAGCCACATTCTTCTCTCTTTCAACACCAGGACGAATCTGGCCAGAGTGCCTTTATATTTATGGGGATTTAATCATAGCCAGGGCTGGCAGCATTCCTTACAAATCAGGGTGTTGGGTATTTCCCAGTGCCAAGGCAGGCTAACTCTGCATATGATACTGCAGGGTGGCTTAGTGTTTTCTGGGAGGAGGGAAATAAAGGGAAGGACATTTTGCCAGGGATGACATTAAAAAGCCACATTGCAAAGGCAGGCTCTCCAAAAGTAGAACACTGAGGAATTTAAGTTTCTTCGTCCCTATTTCCCTGCATGCCTCATCATGCAGACTTCAATAACAAACCACCTCCTGTTTCCCTGTGTTGTTTCCCTGCCTTCGCAGGTCTGCAGCGAGCTGGAGCACATGGAGTTCAGGTTCATTGATGTGGCTGGAGAGAAGAACTGATTTCAAGGCACTGCTTTGCAGAGAATAAACTACCTGCAAGCAGGCAGAGGGCTGGCAAGTGGGTGGCCACTGATTTACTCTGCTTCTAGGTGACATTACTGGGAAAGAAATTGCCTTTGAGGCAGATATGAATGTGCTGGTTTTTTCCAGAAGTATCTTATCAGTAAGGAAACGGAAAATAAGAAAAAGTACATTAAAGCCCTAAAAGCGTTAATGTGAAGGAGATGAACTGCCCAGCTATTGGTGAAGTTGGTGATTACTATGTCCTGTCTTCACAGCAAATGTTCCAGTGCGTGGGAAAATGGGGGATATTAGAAACCACATCTAGGAAGCAGAAGAAGCCTAAAGCAGGAAGCAGAGAGGGAGGATATGGTGGGGATTGGCACCGTAACATTTGCTTAAGGCAAATCTCTCTCTGCCTTCACACTGGTAGGTGGCAGTGGAAGGAAAACTCAGTGTGTGCTTCGAAAACAGGTCATCTTCAAGAAACATCACGGAAACCCTGAGCAGACATGAGCAAACAGCCCGGGGGGAGTCATTTGTCTCTGCTGTCAAGAGGAAAATTAAGGCTCCAGGGGACACAGAGGCTGGGTGTGATGGATGCTTGCAGCAGAAGGCAAGTGGGTCAGCATTCCCATCCGCCACAAAAGTGAGTTCTTTCCCTGGAGAAAAGTGTGTGTATCAAGTGTACACCTGTGGGGAGGAAAGAGGGGATGGGAAGATAAATGGTGGAAAGCCCCTAAAACGATAAATGTCTCTTCTTGTTTGGTATTGACAC